CCAGGATTTCACGATGTCGCGATCACAGCTACTAACACAAATTCAACAAATCCCTGTGAATTCAGCGCAACTTTGTCACCCTGTTTACTTTAGTTTAACATGGCGACACATTTTGAAGTTCTCAGGGAAGATATTTTGGTGCTCCCTCATGGATAAAATGGGCTGAAGTGACACCAGAACTTTCCAGGGTCTGATCCACAAGTAAGAAAACCTTTCAACAAATCTAATAACTAAAACCCGGTTTAGATCAGGACAGTAGTTTAAAAAAAAAAGAGGTGCAGTCTGGTTAGTTCACGTGTGCTCTCTATAGCTTTTAATCCTTTGGGTACTCAGTTTAAATCAAGGATGCACTTCCTGTCTTCTTCAGCTCCTCCCAAACCTTATCTGACCGTCAGAACTTATCAACCTGCCTGATGATCAATCTGATAACAAACGCTGTCTTTAAATCCGTCTCCAGGAGCGTCGTCCTTTAATCTGCCAGCTGTGGGCCTCCTGATAACGGCTGAATGAGCCGTAAATGATGCCTTCATGGTCACGTTATCTGCACGCTCAGAGAGCTTTGATCTGAAAGTGTCTGCCCACTGCTGCTCTTCTTCTTCTTCTTCAGTCAGACAGAGGCGGCGTGTGAGCACCTGGAGATTAAGACTGCAGAGGGAATTAACAGGATTTTAGTGAGGCCTTTTATTGAAGCAGGTCACGACACCGAGATATCTTCCTCTCAGCCTGGAAGGCCACCATGACGAAAAGGAAGAAGCGCAGAGACAGGAAGACTTAGGGCCCGATTTACTAACACCCCGAATAAAGTTAACAAAAGTGCGTGTCATTCTACAATATTGCACGTGTATTTTTAGTACATGTTAAGGGTGATAAACTAAGAATTATTGTGTAGATGACAATAGGAGCAAACACAACGGAGGTGGCAGTATTTAAATGAGGGGTTTGCGTGTTTTAATGGTTCCCGCCATGGAGAGCTGGGAGGGAAGAAAGCAGCCACAGCGTAAAAACCTGGGTTTGTTTTATTCAGTGCGTGCAGAGTATGTGGAAATGTAGTACTTGGGACAGGAAACCCCAGCAGAAACAGCTACAGTATGCTGGAATGACCCGCGAGGAAATGTGGGGTTGCAAGAAGTTTGGGCATCGCAGAAACTCCTTCTTGTAACGGGCTCCAAATCAGCCCTTAGGTCAGCAAACAGCTCCAACATGGCACGGCTGGAGAGGCGTGATGTGTGCGTTATGCGTTCCTCAGTCATGCCACAAATATTGACACGAAGGGAAAAAACCCTTTCAACAGTACTGCCAAAGCTTCAAGGAAAATACAAAAGAACAATTCAATCCTACAGTTAAATAAATCAAATAAATTATTTATTTCTATATATTGGGTATAGAATAATATTGTCTAATATTTTTAATTTCTCTACCTCTTCTTTCATTACAGCTGTGTCTCCTTCTCGCAACAATAACAGCAGCCATCTCTGCAACACTTTGCACCTTCCTTTCAAACGTATTAAATACAGACGCTGTCGCACTCACATTAAATTGCGTTTAGGCTTGTTAGATCACACTGTGTGTAGTAAATAAATGTATTTGCATGTTACCCTCCCAAAACTTTACACAATAACATTGAAACACCCCAAATTTCATTTTCATGAAGGCAAAAGTAGTAAATGAACAACAGGTGCTATCTTGCACTTTTGAAAGACGTCATTCTGCTGCACAACGTTAGCAGATCAGCTTACGTGTTAATTTGCTTGTGATATCAAGTTTGCACACGTTTTTACTCACACAGACCTTTAGTGAATCTGACCCTTTAGTATATACTTAAAAATAAGAGCACATAGATGTTTCTCCATTTGTCTTTATCTCTCTGCAGAAGGTTTCAAGTTGATTTCATAGAAATGAAGAGAAACCAATGGGAAGGAAATCCATCTAAAAACTAATGATGTGGAAAATGATCAGCTGGATTTGTAGAAGTAAACGGACTAAAACACCAGAATGCTCCTTTAAGTTCCTCTGAAACTTTAGATGTTCTCCTCTTACAGCCAAACAACAAGCTTCTTCACCTCCACTTCATCAGCGCTTAACTACCTGTTGACCTCTGACCTCTGAAGCGAGTATAAGCACCCCCCCCCGACCAATCAACAATCCAAAGATAACGCTGAAGCTAAAAGAAACAGCAACCCTGAAAGCTGCTCTCCATTACAGCAACAGCACCGACTCGCAGCACAAAGAGCTCCGTTTGTAAACGAGGTCATTAAAGCAGCGTTTAAAGTGGGGGCGGCGGCGTGGAGGTGGTGGTGGGGGGGTCTTTCAGCTAAGGGAGGGTTGTTTTGTTAACAGTCCTCAGGGATCTTTTTATCAAGCAATCTTTGGACGAGTGCTGTGGTATAATGTACGTATGTGGGTCAGAATAATGAGGGTTCCTGTATGAGCGCGCTCCAAAAAAATGTCACCCGAGACATTTAATCCTCTTATTTAGTCTGTCGGTCAGCGTCGCACGTCTCGCGGCTAAAACAAGCGTCCAACTCTCAACATGCTGCAGATCAGATCACCTCTGGCCTCTTGCCTGTTTACAGTCAGCTCTGCGTTGTAAACAAACAAACCAACAGTTTGCAAGGCCGAGGCGTGCACAAAAGAAAAGGCCATGTTTCTGACCTGGAAGAGAAACACGCCTACTTTTATTTTGAAAGGCTTGGATATCAACAGGTTTTTGGATGCGCAGGGAGGGCGCACGGTCGAACAAGTCTTTTAGTCGCCAGAACAGAATCTCATTGCACTTTTTCAGCAGGTCTAGATTCTTTGTTGCAGTTCATCCTGAGGAGAACATGAACCATCACAGTCCGTCCAACAGTTCAAGCGTGGCCCAAATACTTTGGTACCTCTACTTTTAAAAATAGAGTCTGGCTTATTTCTAAATATTGCACATCCTGGTTTAAACTCTAGATTTGTGTTTCTTGTCGTCTGTTGGTACCTTTAAAATACCTGGTTGTTAGTGATTGGATAGGATACTTTAACATTTTCAATATAAATAAAGATTTTTTAGTTTAGTTTAAAAAAGTTGTAATTGTTTTATCTATTAATATACAGACACACACAGTTAATGTTTTATTTGTTCATTTTATTTAAATTTTTAATATTTTTATTTTTAACACACACACACACAAACACACACACATTTACTGTTTTATTTATTTTATTTTATTCATTTGATGAATCATATGAATTGAATTCACAATACACACACGTTTACTGTTTTACTTATTTTTATTTTAATATTTATTTTTACTTTATTTTTACATTTTATATATAATTTTATTATTATTATTATTATTATTGTTATTATAATTATTATTTTATATATTTTACATATTTATTATTATTATTTACTTTTTATATTTTATTTATTTTTTTATTTATTTATATTTTACATATATTTATTTTATTTTTTACTTTATTTTTATATTTTACATATATTTATATTTTTGAACTGATTGGTGGAGTGTCGTGTCCTTATACTGTAAATATACTGAACGCTGAACAACAACACTATTGATGCCTAAATGAGCTTTTTCAGACGCTGCCTACAATGACAGATTACTTGTTGATGAAAACATTTTCCTCACTTGATTAAACCTGGTGGAACTGAAAAGATGAAGATAACGAGTGAGTTGGTATTTGTTGGTGTTTCAGTCAGTGCCACAGTGATGGCCAGATGGACGGACAGACACAGATTTCATCTTCAGTGGAGACATGAAATAATAAACTGCAGTTAAAGATTGTTTTCTGCGCAGTGTGAAACGTGTGAGGATCGGCTCGGTCTAACACCTGGAGGAGAGACTCATAAAACGAATGTCTGGTGTCTGGGTTGCGTGGCAGCAGCCTGGGAGGTACCGGCCTTCTTTTACGCATGCTGGCAGTCAAAACACTGAAACGCTCCCTGCTCGCTACTTCCACATGCATCAGGCGTGACTGGTGTGTGTTTGTATAGGGCGCTCACTTCTTCAGCCGTCTTTGATGGTTCACACCTGATTTTAAGATTAAAGTTAGAGAATCAGGTTTGCGTTCAGGGTCAGGGAATGTTTTAGGTCCCATGAAGCGTATAAAATGCAAACATCTGTGTGTAAAAACGTGAGCCCCAGACTGAACTGCGAAGTCAAGAGAAGCTAGCCATCACAACATTAGCTCACCTAAAAACATAAGCGTTATGTAACATCCCACAACAGAGACACCAAACTATTTTATACACAGTTAGCAAGCTTAGGCCAGTGGTTCCCAACCTCGGGGTCAGGACCCTCCAAAGGGTCACCAGACAAATCTGAGGGGTCGTGAGGTGATTAATGTGAGAGGAAAGAAGAAGAAACAGAGTTCTGATAAACAAATCTGTTTTCAGTTTTTGGAATTTTCTCTAATCTTTGATTTTTAGTGAGATGTTTGGATCATTTGACCTTTTTTGGGCCTCCAACGGTTATTTAGATGAATCCATGTGAGGAGTTTTAGAGGAGGAGACTTTATCAGCTTATCATGTTTTTTATTTTTATCCAGAAAGTAACTGCAAATGTCAAATATATGTAGTGTAGTAAAAAGTATAGTAGTAAAATGGAGATACTATGCCACTGGCTCCCAGATATTAACTTGGCGAGTATAAAGCTATTACTCACAGGAATGTGCAAAGTCATATTTGGTAAAATTTGCAAAAATCAGAACCGTGTCAAAGGATATATGATTAATATATATGTGACTGAAAATTTCTTTTCACGCTCTGTTGATCTGCTGATTATTTTCTCAATCAACGCTCACAAAGACTGTGTGGGTCATTAAGAAGCTGGAGGAATTAATATCTATAATATCTGCCTTTAATGATTAGTCAACAATGATTAAAATAGTTGAGAAAAATTGATGATGGATTAACTGACTCATCTTTGCAGCTTCATTCTTCAGTGAACGCGGTCGAAAGCAGAGGAAATAAGTGGTAAGTGAAGCTTGAGTTCAGGATCTGGACTCACCCGGATCGGGCTGGGTAGCTCCCTCTCTCTCGCAGTGGGGGGGTCTCTGTCGGCCCGGGGTGGAACCTCTCGAGGTGAGGGGGGAACGCTGCTCCTCCTCCTCCTCCTCCTCCATGTGCTGCTGCTCTTCCTCCCAGCTCCTCCTCCTCCTCCTCCACCTCGGGGTCTCGTGCTCTCACCTCACAGCGAGCGCTCACCAGTAAGCCCAGTACCAGCACCAGTTCTCCCACGGCTGCCATGTCTGCTCCCGTCCACATCACTGAGTGGAGGCTCGCACGACCACCAGCAGCTTTTAAACAGCTGGAGGAGAGAGAGGAGGGAAGAGGAGGAGGGAGGAGGCCACACCTCCTTTTTCCTCTGCTGGTAGTTCTGACTTGATCAGATATCACATCATGTCTGAAATAGTACCAAAAGTAAAAGTACTCATTATACTGTATGTATTTAAGAGTGTTTTCATCTTAACTTTCCGAAACATTTTATTCCTTTAAATACACAATTTTTCACCCCGAGTCTGCGACATTTAGTATTTTATGTATTTTACTTTTCTGTCTATGATCTGAGACGTATGAAGTAACAGAAAATGTAAATACTCTAACGAAGTACCTAAAGGTTGTACTTAACTACAGAGTAAATATTGTCCACCACTTCCATTTTTTTCATCAATAAAGAGTTTTCCTTGTTAAAATTCAATTTCAATAAAATTTTATTTATATAGTGCCAAATCACAACAACAGTTATCTCTCAGCGCTTGTTATAAAAGAGCAGGTCTAGACCATGATGTTATTTACAGAAGCCCAACAATTCCCACCAAGAGCAGCACTAGGTGACAGAGGCAAGGAAAAACTTCCTTTTTATTAAATTAATAAATATTAACAAAATTAAATAGCAATGAATGAACAGTCACAACACGATAAAAGAGGTCTAAACCGGAGACGTCTTTCTGACACTGTCACAGTTTTATGTCTTTCAGCAGACAGTTCAGAGGAGAGAGTGTAAACGAGGTTTCACTTCTCTTTCTCTCTCCACTTTTCTTTTCCCCACAAGTCTGTGCACGTCAGGTAACCACCCCTACACTCCTTTACCGTTTCTCCCTCTCCTTCTGTCTTCAGCCTTTTCCTGTGGAAGTAATAAGAACAGAGGAAACCGCTGACCTGCAGGAGAAATGACCTCCTTCCTTTCTCTGTGTGTGCGCTGCTGTACTTCATCATCATTATCATTTCTCCTCCTATAACTGCTGCACGTGTGTTATCCTGTATATATCTTAGTGTATCCATCTCTGTTGTTTATTTATATAATACCACTACCTACAGTTTTGATGTCTCAGTACTTTGTGCAATGACAGTAAAGTTGAATCCAATCTACTTAAAAACAAAAGGTAGATTTCTAAGGAATAAAAATCACACCTCAACATCACTTAGATTTGAGAACAAGAAGTGACTCCAACTAAGAAAATGCTTGCTATAAAATCAGCATTACAGTGGATCGAAGAGACAAAACCACGAAGAGGAGCTGTTGATATTTATATTTCAGAGAATTACAACCACCTCCGGGTCTGAAAAGTGAAGCCTCAAACCTGCGTCCTCTCCAGCAGCCAGCAGGGGGCGACTCCACCGGCTGCAGAGAGAAGTGTGATTTTATAGAAGCCTCTGAGAAAATGTTTCTACTTGTCAGCTGATTTATTCCCTCAGTAAACACTTTCCTGATGAGTTTCTGGTCTCAGTCACTAGTTTCAAGTCTTCTTCAACACAGCGTGATGTTCATTTAGTAAATTATGGTCCCATTTAGAGGAACAGAGACCAGGAAGCAGGGGAGGATTTAGGTTTGTTCAGCATTCGGTTGTAGTAAAAGACACTCTAAGGAGTTGGCTGTTCATTTTTTCTGATAAGCACATTTAGTTTTTGGCCTGTGTAGCCAAAATTTGCATCCCGGTTAATATCACAGTTAATGTGAATTACGAATGTGCCTTTGCTAACCAAGCTAGCTAGCCACCGTCTCGTGTGGCTGTAAAAAAACCAAAACTGCAACGGTCAAAACGCCAAACAGGCTTCAAAACGGTAGTCCACAAACCGATGGGTGATGTCGCGGTGTCCACTTCTACGACACAGACACATACTGGAATGAAAACGAAAGGATTTAGTCGATGAACTGAAGCCACAAACTTTGATGTAAAAGTTAACTTTAAGTAAGGCAGAAATTAAAAGTGTAATTCATTGATTAATTGAGCACACATTGAGAGAATTGTGGTGGATGCACGGGGGATAAGAGAGAAGAGTTTATGGAATAAAAGAAAAAAAGCAGCATTAAAATAGGAAAACAATACAGCAAGATGTGACTTTTGTCAGAGATATGAAGCTGAAACATTGATTTAAGTGATATTTTCTAAAGAATTTGTTGTTTACATTTATTTCATTTATCTGATCAAGAGGATAGTTTTGCAACTAAAAGCATCAGCTGTGTGTGGAGCGATGAGGAGGCTGTAACCTTCCTCACATGGTTTTCCATCGATAGAGCTTTGACTGGAGCTCTTTTAAAGACTTTTTCTCATTGTGTTTTCTTCATTTTCAGCAACTGGAGAATCAGCTCCACCAGCAGTTTCTCCCCATCAGCCAATGAGCTTGTGTTCACACAGCAGCAGTGGGGGGAGACCAACAGTTTCTGGAAAAAAATTGGCGCCGCATTTGGATGTAAATCGAACTAATGTCTGGCTTTAAAGTTAGAAATAGATTCAGGATAATGGGTAGGTGTTGAGAATTGTGGGGCCTCACAAGTTTAGAAGCAACTTTTCTTCAAATAAAAGTCACTGAATAAAAAAGAGAGGACAGGCTGCAGGTGACTGTTGGACTAATGGTTTGGAAATGTGTTTTTTGGCCGTGAGATTACGTCTCAGTCGTGGAAAGACGTCTCACTCTGCCACCTTTTCTCTCTCACATTGTCTCGTGTCGTTTGTTGGTTTAGTCACAACATTGAAGCGGATTAAAGTGAATTAAAGTGACCTAAAGGAGAAAGAGGAAGGCAGAGTGACGGTTCCTGTCCAGGCTGAGAGAGCCGGGGACTTTTCCACTGGGGGCTGGATGGGTGGGGGTCATTTCCGAGGATTGTCTTAGAGCTGCGAGGAGGTGGAAGAGGGGGGTCTGACATGTGTGACAGAAAGAGAAAGTGTGGAGGGATACTGAAGTGAGAGGCGCCGAGAAAGTACTCAACATTCTTTTGTAGATTTTTTATTAAACCTGTGATACGAGTTTGTAGGAAGAAATCACGTCGTTTCACTCGGAATCAGCTGAAATAATACAGTATCAGCCGACACGACAACTAATACATTTACACAAGTACAGTAATTAAATACATTTTTGAGATTCTTGTACTTTACTTGAGTATTTCCCTTTTCTGCTACTTAATTCTTTTACTCCAGTAAACCTCAGAGGGAAATATTGTACTTTTTACTCATTATAGATCTGATTTATCAGGCCGATATCCTCACTCACGAGAAAATTATATTAAAAGTATAATATACGAGTGCTTCTTCCCTCTCTGTTGTCTTGTGTATTATCTTTATTCCAGGATGTACCCCTATTTGATTGATGATAATGTTTGAGCTACTACAGACTGTCCACCAGCGTCACGTGCAACAGAAAGATTTACACAGCCAACATCTAAAACAGAGAAAGAAATAATCAAGCTAACTGCTGGTTAGGAAGCTACATCACAGAGCTCTCTTATGAAGCTACAATCAAGCTCACAGGAAACATAATGAGCTCAACAAACTGCTCGGCATCAAATGTTGCTGTGGAAAGAAGGCAAAATGATCACAGATCAGGGGGCCCAGCAGAGGCCGCTCATGTTACCCTACCTAATTAGCAGATTATAAATAATATTACCAAAAGTAAAATATTAAATGACAAAATAGTAAAATGGTAAGTGGCTACTAATAAATTACGTTTATAGTATTAATGGCTACTAAAGTGGAATCCCCATCAGATGCAGGATAAATAAAGCAGGAACAGAATATAAACCACTTTCATTCACCAAGTCCCGTAACAAAAGCCCTGTCATGCAACTGTGTTTGTTCAGAAATGTAGAGAGAGCCAGCCAATAAAATCCCAGCGTCCATTTTAAAGACGATTAAAACAATTATAATATTTCCTTCATTGCTGCAGTGGAGTTAAAATATGCACTGTAACCATGCACACGATAACATCAGGTAACTATCTGAGTGACATGTTTGTATTGATCCTGGCTGTGTAATAAATGTGGTATTTGGAGTAATCCAAGAAAAGCATGTGTACTCTGGACTTTGAGTGTTAAGGTAGGGCAATATTTATTTATTGATTATTTGGGATCAGAAACAGCCCATTCACACCATGAGTATGACATCCTACACTGTACAGTAAACCACTCTCTTATTTGGGAGGACTTCTCATGAGTAAAATAAAAACAGGTGACTAAATAACATGAATATGTGCTTGATGTTATGCAGGCTGGTCTTCCCTCTCTCACAAGCAAGTGCTTGGATCAAATATACAGCTCCATCTTGTGGACAGTTTATATCATTACCTATTGTTGAAAGGCAGGCAGGGTGACGTACGAATAATCAGTGGGGATGATAGTTTTACATAGTCCTTGTCTAGGACTCACACTTACTGATTACTCTTTAAGACCCATTTTCGGTTCAATGTCACACAAACTGGAGGAAGCCTCTTGTGTTGATGAGCTGTGCTGCCTTCCAGAAAGATTCAAACCACTTTGTGTAAGCAGTTGTGACAGTAAACATGTTTATTAATTTGCCATCACATATTTAAATGCTGTGCATAGTATCAGCATTATGTAAACACAAGTTGTAATATGGAATCATTATAATTTCTTCCTTTTACTCCTGTTTTCAAAGAAAGCGGGGAAGTGACTTTTGTTTACTGGTGTATGGAGCGCACGGACAGGTGAGGCGGTCTAGTGGGCGACTCTCCAGCAAAGGAATATAACCCTAAACTGTGAAACCTCTCTGTTTTACTGCGAAACAACATTATGTTTTTCCCTTTTAATGAGGTTTTATTCATCATTGGACTATTTAAGTAAAGTTAACGGACTTTGGGACCGATGGGACTTTGGGAATTTCAGAATAATCATTTGTAAATTGTTTGTTTGATTGGGGTGTCTGAGTGCTGTTTGTTTCCTGTGTGCCGTCCAGGTTGGACACATTAACAAATAACAAATACGTGGTGATAAAAGCAACAAACACCTTATACTTGTGTATACTGTGCTTTTCCCT